CAGCGTGGGGGTTTATCTCCGACATGGAACGTTGGATTTTTTTTTGGTTGATATTTTCTAAATATCAAGGAAAAATCATCCGAGTTTCCAGCAAGAGATGAATTCAGTGTCATCGTCATCGGTACCATGTATCATTTTTTATAATGAGGAAACCTGGGAGGGCAATCGTGCCAGGACATTGCATTCAATTTCGGGATCGATTCGATGAGGTAAATGCAATTTGGGGCTTATTATTATTATTATTGGTCGTTATAGACACCTGATGACAATTCATTTCGATGAACCAATTTATGTCTTGAGCGATATGGAGTCGGTAGCTCGGGCGTTACTTGTAGCGGCATCCAGGGTGCATCGATGATGCACTTCGGAGGGTGTCATTTTGTTGCCGGTGGTGCGCCAGGAATTTGTGGCCCTTGTCGTCCTTTTGCGAGAAGAAGTCCTTTCAATGGAGGCGAGCTTGGAGGTAGGCCTAATTGGGCCCGAGGTAGTTGGCCAATTGGCGGGAAGTTGTCTCCTCGTAACGGAGCCTCGTAACGCTCCCGTTTCCCCGCAGGTGCCGCAGGGTTCCTGGAGGAAGACTGGTGGGAACGACTTCCCAGAAGTCGGCACTGCTCGGCAATAATGGCCGGCATAACGGGAGGCGGGAGCTGAAAACTCGGGGGGCCGCGCGAAAAGGCGACCACGAAGAGGACCTTCAAGACGACCGAATTTACGCGACGACTTGCGCACTAACGAAGCCGCCGAGCCACCGAATAAAGACGGCGGAATCGCCGTCATAAACTGCACCGTGTCGCCCGATTGAGACGTTTCGATCCAACTTGACGTCCGCTCTTCTTGTCGAGGACTCGTCGCGGCGGTCGAAAGGCTCCTCCCGCCTTGAAGAGGGATCGTCCTCGAAAGCTGCGCCAAATAGGGAAGGGCTTCTTCTTCCCTTCCGAGTCGTTCGATCGGTCGACCTCAGGGCTCGATTTGAAATCTGCTTTCTCGGCCACGTGGCCAAGTTCAAGGCTCTTCAGGCTCTTCAGGCGAATTTCAAGACCACGTGGACTGATCAAATTCAAGGCTCTTCAGGCTTCATAAAAAATTAGCAGCCACGTCTTCAGGGTTCGATTCGAAAACCGCCTCCTCAGCCACGGGAGTGGGAGTTGGCAAAAAAGTTGCCAACCGTGTCTTCGCAGCTCGATTCGAAAACTTTTTCTCCTACGGTCCCAGGACCCGCCAAGTTCAAGGCTCATCAGGGTTTCGTCAAAAGTTGGCAGCTGATGATCAACGCACCACCACCGTCCCGGGACGCGCTTCGACGTGGAAATGATTACACCACTCGAGAGGATACGAGTGGTCATTAAAAGCCCCACCTGAAATTGCGGTATCTCCGCGAAGAGGCCTGCCCTGGCACCACGAACTTCCGTTTTTTGCTCAGGCTTTCCTCGGGTTTATGTCACGACCGGGTAACAAGTTCCGCGAAGGAGTTTATTTTCCAATCTCTTTTTCGGCCCGTAAATTATTCCTCCCCCTCCCGCGAAATCCCTCAAGATGGACAATGGTACTCCTCCCGTCCAACCAACCTGAACCGCTATGTCATATTTTCAAAAATTCAGAGACAATCCCTGTTAATAGCGTTCACCACCAAAGTGAGGATGATTGAAGTAACCACCACGTTATCATTAGTCGCATTGCGGTCGACATGTTGATGAAAATTTAGAGGCGTAGCCCTCTTATTAAACATTTTCCCTACCGCTCTTCGGCACCATCTCTAGTCATCAAGCCCAGCTTCCCTGGACCGATTGCAGGGAAGCTGCGCGCTCGTCTGGCGAACTCGTCTCGAGTTTTTGCCAAGACCGACCCGGCTTAACCCGGCGATCACTTCGGATCGGCGATCCTGTCGATCCCTGTAATTCTCGACATTATATTTCCAAGTTCGCCGGAACGATCGTATGGGGTAATTGGCTGTTTGCATTTAGCGGTACCTCCCCAGAGTCGGGCCGTGCGTGCCGGCAGCTCCTCGGCCAACCCTCGACGTTATTACCCCGAAGAGCGACCTGGAAGCGTCCCTTGCGATCGGTCCAGAGGGCCAGGGTTCCTAATGAATGCCCTCGCCTGGAGAAATCGGTGAATCGATGAATAATCCCACTTAAAAATCCATCGGACGCTCCCACCGGTCCGTATTTCATTACCGCGCTTTTTCAGGGAGGTGGCGCAAGAAATGGCGCCACTCCCGAGTGGCACGGTCCTCGGTGTGTTCATGCTTGTCAGGGTTTCAAGTATCGAGATCTACCGTGGCCGAAGCAACCGCGAGTTATTACGTGGATAGTGTCATTAAACATTTTGCACGGTTCCTTTTTGCAACGATCGGCCACCGGCTCTCATACGACGCGCTGGGCGGTCTCCGGCCTCCTGCACCGTTCAAAATCTTTCGATATTTCGAACCCTTTCCGCTTCAAATGTATACCAAAACCAGAAACAGAGGCACTCGACATGTAAACCCGACGATTAGGTACACGGAATTCCGAAGAGTACCATTTTTACATGGGAATACCAACGAAAGAGTTCCTCGCAATTCCGAAGAAACGTTGTATCCAATTTCTTCCGGTTTATATTTTATATTTAATATTTCCCTGGGACCATTCAAAGAAATGTTTGTAAGGTTCAATGGAATTCATTTCTCTTGGCATTTGATAGCATTTGGAAGGATTTGATAATATCTCGTAGTGTTCCAAAGCTATTGATATCATTTCGAAGCGCTTGACAGCACTCAGAGCTTTTGGACTGATTTTTGCGGTAGAACTCATCGAGGGTGAGCAAAAGGAAATGGTTGGGCCTGCAAATTGGCATGAGTAATACCGTCGGCAGTCCTTAAAATTGCAGATAGGTAAAGCAATCGAGATTTCGCCACTCGGCGACCATTTCGTCCCCTCCTGGTCCAGCACTCGCACTAGAGACCTTTCCTCTCTGAACAAATCCTTCGGTGGAGTGGGTTAAAATAAAACGGAGCACTAACAAGAGCGAGCGCAATCACGTCCGCATATATCCGCTCCCGACGTACCATAAAGTGTCACCGTGATTACTCAAGCCGTAATTGTCGACCCGCCGAGATACAGGCGTCTCGTTCGAGCAGGAACGGGAAGAAAGAATCGAGTCCGAGGGGAAGTTAATGGACTCGGTGAAAAAGGTGTCGAAACGCTTTCTCGCTCCTGGCGAGGGCTCTTCCGCATGTTTGAAGAAATGAGATCCTAGGACCTCGGGATGCTGGGACGGTCCAGCCTCGATTCTGATCCTGCACCTCCTCCACCCTGATAAAAACATCTGGAAATACATAGGAAATACATAGAAGTGTTCAGTTCGTACAGTACTTATTTAGAAATTTCGCGCACAACTGCAGTCAGATTTCTGGACCGAGAGAAGAAATTCAATCACCCAGAGAGATACTTCTTTGAACAGTACCAAATGAGCTCAAATAAGTTGTCACAATTCCGAAGAAACGTCGCATACAATTTATTGAGGCTTTTTAAATTAAGTCATTTTTTTTAGTGCACCACATCCTATGCAATCTTATCAAATTCTCTTAAATGCTGATTTGGTTTGCAATCTCGCAAAGAGATGGCGAACCAAATCATGACTCTTACACATCCTCTTACTTTCAAGAATTTCGAAAATAATGGCGTCCACATTTCGCAAGGCTTCTTTCCTTGTGAAATTTCATGCGGAACTTTCTCTGGTGGCGGTCGATTAACCAATGATTTATGAGTTCACTGCTATCACTGTAATCGGCTACTGGGAGAACGCGCCGGGCTTCTCCGGTCACAACGCGGTTTCATTAGGAAAATCGATCAAACCTTTCATTAGCTATCGTCGATTACTTACATCGCTCGGTCTTACCTTTCGAAAATAGTTCGATTATTATCGAGTCGAACTCGCGGTGCAGGGAGAATTAAATCAACCTCTGACAAAGCTCTATTCTGGCCTTATCTCCGCCGCTCCTTCATTTTTTTCTTGAGTAATCGATGCGACGTTTATCCGGAATTATGATAACTTATTCGAGTGAAATCATTTATTCTTTGTATGAGAAATATATTCCTTTGGTACTTTGGTTCAATGAGTTTTTCTTTCTTAGTGTACGAGTCACACTCGCGATTTAGGTACTGCATTTCTCATCTGGACTGAAAACGGTGTCGGTAAGGAGAGCAGATCTCAGGATAGCCGGATTATCGTTCGATCAGCTATTGGATCTATCGGCTATTAGCTGTACAAGAGGCGGAGTAGGAGCAATGGGCAGCCAGATCAGCCGAACCTCGTGGGAACTGGTCGTGATTAGTCCACGTCAATAGCAACGCTAGTTATGCTAATTGCGCGAAAGCACTTGGGCCCGCTGCTACCAGCTTAGAGTTAGGCCGGGCTCTCGGCATCTCGAATGCAGCCCATCGGAGATGAAGTCCCGCTAAGCGCGAAGAGCTGAAGACCATAGCTGGTCCATCCATTTTTCACCGGGTTTCATCAGCTCCCGTTGTGCCCAAACTACGGGGCCAAGTCGTCCAAAACTTGTTTCGGACATCGAACCAGAGAATCGAGGAGGGTTCAGGAGAAAACCGAGGTCTGGACGTCCTGGAGGTCCAACTCCCTAGACACCTGGGCAGGTGCAACCCAAGGGGGTCATCACTCAAGAAGTCACCCATATAGGAATTCTTGATCATCATATGATGAGGAAATTCCATTTACAATATCCAGATCATTTACTACATGAATTGTCTACAATTACGCATATCGAAAAATAAATGTCAACAAAAATTGTGAAAGTGAGAAATGTGCGGAAGAATGGCGGTCGAGTGTTGCGCCTTACTCCTCGTATTGCGGCTCTATCAAATTTGGGATACTCATACGAATTGTCAAGTGAAATTTTTTCCTACCAATTTTCCTTTACCAATTTAGAATACACGTGTAGTCGGAAGCGTTGACGATATCTGTACATTTTTAACAGTGCATCTTTTTTCCCTTCGTGCTTGCAGGCGGCGGGCCCTCCGGTGCAGCTGGAACCCGTGGACCTGTCCGTGAAAACCCCGGTGGTACTTCAGGTGCCCAGGTACAGCCCAGCAGCCCTGATAGCCTCGGCCAGGAAAGTACCTTCGCCCTCGACGACCCCAACGCCGCCCCCGCCCTCGCTCTGCGCATCAACCAGTGAGTCATTTTCCCAATTTCACGTTTTCATATTTTCATATTTTCACATTCCGTCGGATGGGCCGAACCCGCTTTACCGGAAGAAAATTTGAAAAACCGCCGGAAATTCTCCCGGACACCCATCCGCGCAGGGTTACCGCGCCCGGCGTCGCTTAACCTCGGGCAGTTCGCCAGCCCTGCGAATAAGATTCTCGATAATTACTGGTCTCCTTCGACTCGAGAGAAGAATCCTGGCGATGTCGCAAGCTCCCGTGTTTTCAAGGTCAGCTCTACCAACACCGCTTTGTGCGATGGGGAACATTCCCCAAGGGCACCGCTCCCATCGGCGAGCCGGTGACTTCTTCTTTCCCTGATATTTAGAGGAATTGCGGGATCGACCATGTTTTCCCCTTAGCGACTTTTTTGGGATCGAATCCCGTGGAGAGATTTTTTATTCGTGATTTTTTCATGATTTTTAAATCATCATTCATGATATTTTTTCGTTTTTTATTCATGATTTTATTCCCGATTGAATTTATGATTTCTTTTTTCTATGATTTTTATCCGTGATTTTTTTATAACGAATTTTATGAACGTTGATAAGCACTGGCTGAACGCTGCGTGAACTTTTGAAAGACTAGGGATGGCCCCCTCCGGGTAATGTAAGAGTTTTAGGAAAGGGTTTCCTCCGACAGGTAGGGACTCTTCCTCGTCAACGTCGAGAAGGGGCATCCTTTCTCTCGGCGAGAAAATTGAAGTCACTTAGGGCGGCGATTAGCGCGCATATGAAAGCCCTCGGAAAAAGTTACGAGGTCGCCCTGGAAACTCTCTCCGCTCGTCCGGAGTGTGCTTTAATGGGCCGGGCTCTCTCGTAATTCTCCTTTTTTTCCTCCTCCCGAGGTACCTACTTAAGGGCACTAGGAATCGAGACTTCTTGCGCAACGATAATCACTCCTAAGAGTACATTCTAATTCCTCCCGAGCAAGACCTAATGACGGCTCTCCCTCTCTCCCTTTGATGGATCTTCCCGTTCTATTATTCCGCTATAACCATCACACGCATGTCGGGTCGAACTTCTACTCCCTGTTAAACGGTGAAATTTAATTCTCATGGTTAAAATCAGTAGGCGGAAATTTCTCGCCAAAAATCTAACAACTTCCTCCGTCCTAATTATTAACAATCTTCAATAACGACCGGCGAACCTGATCGGCTCGCTATATCGCCGATGTAAACCCACGTTTTTCATACGAAATTAGTAGATCCGAGATAGAAGTCCTGGATTGATATTTCGGAAAATTCATAACGACTAAAAATTCTCTTTCGATTGACCCCACCAAGATCAGGTCCAGCTCTTCCTCCTGGAACCCCATCATCTCCCGATAACCCCCGATAAAGGTTCGATCGTTAAGTCGCCAACGTTGGGACTCCTGGTTCCGACTCGCGGTTTCCGCGGGCGATTTATGACTTATTATCAAGAGGGGGTTTCGCCCGTGTTTTCGCGCCATTAGTGCGCATTGGTAGCCCGTTTTGCCAGCGAGTAGCTCGTAATTTGCCCGCGTAAGTGGCCGGTACGCTCCCCTGTGCAACGAGCGGTGGTATCGGCGGACAGGGGGGGCATTTAAAATTCCACGCCCCCCGTAAATGGGAGAATTCTGCATTATGAACTGGACGAAACTGCCGGTTTACTGCCCCGCGTAAACCGCGTCGGAGGTATAGTGGCTCGTATCGCGCGTTTACGGGTTAATTACGGGAGAGTCGCCCCCTTGTCCATCCCTGAAAGCGATACGTGCGTATCGGGAAACGCCGAAAGAGCCGCGGTGATTAATGGCGGTCGTTAATGCGCTTTTCGCAGGATGCACCGGATCCGCCTGGTGCATCCGAATCCAGCAGTCATGCAGCGTCTCGTAAATCCGAGGAAGCCCTCCGCGGCCGATTCGAGGATTATGGAGAGCGCGTTTAATGACTGCCTAATTATTATCCCGAGGTACTCTCCACTCTGGGGTGCCTTTCCTTGGCAGCGATATAAAGGTAATACTTTGTTATTAACAATGTAGCGGCACACCAGCTAGTAGATGTCGTTCCTAGGAGGGACGTGGATGACATCTACCTGGTATTACATATGTAGAAAATGTAATTCCAAAGTGTTAATTGTTCATTTTTACTGGATTATCAGATTTTTCATTTTTCGGTTCCTAGAGCTTTTTTGGGGGTCTCGCATATGATTTTCTCTGTAATTATATCTGTTTTCCGCTGCTCATTCGGCTTAGGGCCCTCCGTCGAAGAATCGGTGGAGGCGCTTTAAAGCTGGACTTTTCGCGACACGCCCTGGGAGAGGATACGCGAAAGCTCCGAGGCTCCGAGGGTCCCCCACCTGGACGCGCGGCGTTCCTTTAATCCGCGACATTCTATTGTTTACCCTCTCGCGGATGGGCGGATGGGCAGAGATGGGCAGATAGGTGGATATTAAAGTCCGCTCCACGTATCCGCGTTGCGCTCTTCGCGCGTCCATAAATCCCGGCGAGTAGCCTATCGGAAAATTCCTATCGTACGTGGATACCATATACGCGGGGCCGAGTCGGGCTGTGACGCAACCAAAAATTAAACGCCTTGGGAAATGCACCGGGACTTCGATAGAGGCAGAGGTGGACGCGCGCATCGGGAAAAGGCGGCGCCTTAAGGGGCGTCGTACTTGCTCAACTAGACGGCGATCCTGGTTAGGTTCGACCCCTCTTAATTTCTCGGGTCGACGTTCAAAATGAAAAGTTCGGGAGAAAACATCCCTGAACCCCAATTTCATGAAATCAAGGTTTCATCGAATTTTTTTAAGGAAAATCCCGATTATGTTCGACCCCCCTTGACTTCTCGATTCGACGTTCAAAATGAAAATTTCGGGAGAAAACATCCCTGAACCCCAATTTCATGAAATCAAGGTTTTATCGAATTTTTGCAAGGAAAATCCTGATTAGGTTCGACCCTCCTTGACTTCTCGGGTGGACGATCAAAATGAAAATTTCGGGAGAAAACATCAATGATCTTCGATTTCGCTAAATTAAGGGATTATCGAATTTTCCATCGTGAGAAAAATCGATAAGAAATATTGTATAGGGTTCAAAGGCGATTATTCCCCTTGGGGTTTTTCCTGGATCCGTTCTCCTTTCGGGAGGAAGAAGACCTCATCGAGTCTGTTATCTTTCCGTCGCGATTCATCAGCAACGATCTGGGCGGGCCGCTCGCGTCAGAGGCTCAAATAGCGGCGCTTAGGTTCACATTCCGCGCATGAAAGGGATATAATTAAGGACATGAGCAGCTCGAAACGGCACTTGCTTTTTGTCCCGCCGTCGCTAATTACCCTTCTAATGCTCGACGCCATAGCCGAGGGCGCCATACGTACATTAGCGGCGCCTCATTATTCCTACGATCACCGTCGCCGCGACGTCACACTCCATCACGGCGTCCTCGATGACTCGCGCTCACGAATTCGTCCCACTTGGAGAAAAAGAAATTCAAGAAACGTTCTCGGTGGAATGGAAAATCACCCGTAGGTATGATTTGTCGTTCTCTAAACTGAGGGAAAAAAAAAAGACAATAATGCGTCGAACCTAAGAAAATTTTTTTTAATTCAAAGTGATTTTTTATTCTCTCAGTGCATCATCACTGAGTACCCTCCATGACTTCAAATTCTCTTCCCGATGAAAAATCCTCTCTTGAACGGACTTTTGACTCGGAAAAGGTAATCGTGGCGAATAAACGCGTTTCCTGGATTCGCGTGATTTTCCCGAAGGATGGGAAAACCAGAGAGCCCGATTTTCCGGAGTTCCCGAGGAAAACGGAATTTCTCTCTTTCTTTCTACATTTCTCCCCGAGTCGTGCGCTGATGACGGATAGCGTTTCGTTTGTTGGGAGTCAAGCCGAGCAGAGGCTCCCAGACTTTGATTGTCTCTGATTAATTACTCGGCCCGTTTCTCGAGCTTCCGCCGGCATGTCGGTGATCCAGATAACGCGTAACAGTATTACCGGGAGGGATCTTTTTGTCTCCAGGCTGAGACGTCGCGAGAGGGAAGGGCGTGTGCTGGGAAAAGGAGAATAGCCTTGCCAATTTTCTCGGCAGTAATTCTTTCCTCGTAATCTCCCGCAAGACACCATTTCCGACGCACTGATAAGACGAGAGATGACCCCTAAGGATTTTCCGCATTTTTCCTCACTCCCGTTTCCCACGCTTTATCGAGTTTCCATGCAAAATCATGATTTTCCCTAAAAATTAGAGGGAGAGGAAATTACAGAAATTATTCCCTCGAACAAAATATACCGAGTTATATGTCAGGATTAAACTTGTTGCAGTTTTAAAGAAATTCCCAGAGTATATTTCTCTGAACGGAAGGCAAAAATATCTCTTCGGGGTAATTACATTTTCTCTGTAGCAATACCCTGTTACTCTTTCCAAATGAGCATTATTCAAAGAAATCATATTTTTCGCGGCCGATATGAAATTTTTCTCCTCGCTCTATCTTGCCTTCACATTAAGGGATTTTTCCCCTTTATTAGACCCTTTTGCAGAACTATTGCGGTAACGCTTAATTTTATAATTTTCTACCGTTTGCGATCGATCCCGATGGCTCGGCCAGATCGATCCAGATAGATCAAGTTGAATGGCAAACCGATTGCCGTGGCCTCTCGAGGCCAAGACGAGTAGCAATAGGCGAGCGGTCATATCGCGCTCGGAGCACTCTGAGATAGGATCTGAGATCGGGCCCTGGTGTTTCTAAACTGCAGATTATAGGCGATGGGGCTCCCCGCAGCAATGCAGCCGATGCAAGCGATGCAGGCCGTGTGCTCGGGACCGAGACCGACCCCCGGCGCAATATGCACCCGCCACTGTCGGCAGATAAGACTGATAAGCCGAGAAAGCCCCCTTTGTGGAGGCGTTAGCCGGTAGCACCGAAGGAAGACCCGCGTTTCGTATCTGGTTATCACCTGACTCCGAATCCCTTCCAATAAACCCAGAATTGTGGAATACACACTAA